AAAGAATTAAATTAATGCTTAATGCATATTTACTATAAAAACAATGCAGCCCTTCCTTATACCAAACCCCTGTTCCGGTGATCATGGAACTTTAAATTTTGGATAACGCATCCTTGCTCATAATAATTATGTATGCAGATTCTTTAATCAATTTAAGTAGAAGCAGAGGAAAAAATTTTCAAAAAATTACTTATTACATAATATTCACTATATAATAAATAGAGCCTTGTCCTTACACCGGAACCCCTGGTCAAGGGTCCATGAAATTTAGGCAATTTTGGAAGAGATGCCCTTGTACCATGAAAATTAACTTTAATTATATTCATTTAAGACCCATGGGTAAAAAAAAAAATTTCAAGATATAATGCACTTTCTCTATATTCTCTATACATATATATACACGCACTAGCATTAGAACCCCTGACTTTAGGTTCATTAAGTTCCCAATTAAGGAGAGGACTCAATGGTGCCAATGGTTTCACTGCTTGACGTAATAAAGAATAAAAATAAATCCTTTAATTTCAGTGATATTGGTGTCACCATTCAGTTCCCTGAGAAGGGGGAATAAATACACAATTGTTGTTCCCCTTAATCCATGCTTTATGCCATAATTGGTTGAAATTGGTTGAATGGTTTCAGAGAAGAAGTGAAAGAAGGATATAGAGATAACGAACAGTATTTAATATCAAAGTCCATAAAACATATTTATTTTTACTCTTCACAAGACATTAACACATGGCGGGGAAATCTTTAGGAATTACCCGTTTATTTAACTCTATTAGGAATATATACCCGTCTCGTATTATTTGTATACTTGAGGTTTGGCCCCTTTTTCTTGAATGATAATCAGTGCTACTATTATCACATGATTTCGTTGAGAGTAAGATCATATTTAAGTAGACGCATCATAAGTATTGTTGATTTAAATTTGTTCATATTATGAACACCTTGGTTCTGTAAGGATATAATATAATCAAAGATTTACATTAAAATATGTAGAAAAATAAATATATGACATCAATGACAACAAACATAAGAACCATGTACTCAACAGGGAGTCTTGGCAATTGTCTTTAAATTAGAATTAATCATATTTTCAAAATTTTTCTTTTGTCTACTTCATGTTAAATTTAAATTTCATTTTATTGCCACTCTTTTCAGACAGAAACACCACTTAATTTCATTTTGATAATATGGCTTCCATGAGCAGAAAACGACCTCATAAAGACTTAGGAGATATGTATTCTGATAAAAGACGCAAGCCAGGAAAAGGTATGGAGGTATACCTTTTGTTTTATTCTATGTCCGATCCTATCAACATGTACATGTAGCACAAAATTAATAATTCTCATATGCTAGCACATGTGTTTCTTTAGGAGGCACAATAATAGTCCCTTGCATGACCAAAATGCTTGTTTGTTAAACTATAAACAGGGCAAAAGATCCACTATATAAAGATTTTATTTAAAAAAAAAATGATTTGTTGAATCAAAAAACCTAAGCAGGGTAGATTTCTTTTAATTTACGGTTTAACAATAATATTTAAGTAAATTATAAAATTTGTAGATATTAATACTCAATCTACGTAACTGCTGAAATTTTTGTCGACGCATGGTCACCGATTTTGACAAACTTTACCCACTCTAATTTGTGACTGACACCATAAATATATATCAAATAAAAATTTGGTGCTATGTATTTTATTTGTTATGGTAACAGTAGAAAATATTTGGTAAAGATAATTCAATTTTCAGTTATTTTAAATCTTTGTTTAGCATTGATTAAAACTAGGAAAGCAAATTATAAACAATCTCACAAAAACTAGACATATTATATTGTTGCCACCCATATATATGCACAAGTGAGTTACAAATGTTACATATGGAGGTTTCTATGCAAAATATTAATTCAATTCCATAATTGCTCTACCTACCGCACGGAAAATGTTAAGACTTGTTTTCTAATACATTCTTTGTTCCCACGACATCCGATAGCCAGTACATATTATGACGTAATTTTGTGACGTCATTGACCTCTATTACACAAGTTTATAAGAAACGTCAACAAAATCGCTTCGGCGCAAGGACATACCTTACTTTGTTTTACAGAAACAAGGTATAAAAAGACTCAGGATATTCCAAGGATTTAAGATATTGCTGCACAAATGTCGGCACTGCAATTGTTTAGTTACTATTAGTGCAGTTTTAAGTTTAAACAGGATAAAAATTCACAGTCCAGTGTAAGTTTTTTAAAAAAATTATCGATTGAGAAATTGCATGGGATTTGTACAGCAATTTTTAACATGTTAAGAATATTCTCTCAATTAGTATACATTGTTTATTTTAAATTAGATGGGATATGCCCTTGCGATGACATGATTTTGTTGATGTGATATATAACTTTGAATGGGAGAAAACAATGATGTCATACTATGGCGTCATAATGTGCACTTCATTAACAAACTGCGGGTACTAAGAATGCATAAGAAAATCAATTTGAACTCTCTCTGTACATAAAATATACAACTTATGAATTTTTTATTAGCTCATTTGCATGGAAATATACATATTTAGCCTCAACTCACTTGCGTGTTAATAAACTGTTTCGAATATATGTAAAAGTAAGTAGTAATCAAGATTACAGTTGGAAAACAATTAAAATAGTGAAATAAGCTAAAAACTCTCGGTATTTACTAGTGGTAAATGTTACATGATCAAACTTGATTCACAACATATGAAGAACAATAAAAGAATGATGTTGATCTTAAGTAAATTGTTATTAGTCGTATTATTTCAGATATAAAATTATATTGAAATCGTAGTAACACATGTAACCAAGTAAAATTAAAACCTAAGACAGGGTTAATCTATAGCTACTTCTGTGAAAAAATACACTAAATTCTAAACTGGCATATACTAGTTTGCATCCGCAGGACCTTAAAATACCAACTGCATAAGACAATGAGGTTAATCGCTACTTTTTGGTATAAGCATGGAAGCGACGTACCAATTTTTCAAAATGTTACATTTCGAGGCTTATACAGTGCCCGCATCGTTATTCTCTACAGGATACACGATACGATAGGATACCCGCACGATACTATAGGATACACGCACGATAGGATAAACGCAAAACACGATACACACAAAATAAGACAATGAGGTTAATCGCTACTTTAGGGTATAACGATTGACGCAACGTACCAATTTTTTAAGTAAAACATTTTGCTGCTTATACACAATGTATGACACACCTTGAAAAGTACTCACCTGGTAATATCATGGTGAATATCATGTATTGATAAAGTTTAAACGAAAACTATTTGTTGCAGGGATGATAAGTGGTTTTCCATTTATAAACTGTTGCATCATTCTAAAAGACACATCAATCCAGGAGGCAACAAGGGGCCTTATCCTTTTTTATTCTTTTTATCATCACTCTTAATCTTTAAATTAAAATGTTTAACATTACAGAACGTTAACAAGAATTATATTAATACACTGTACGAGCATACAGTAACTTCTTTGTATCATCTTTTTTTTTTTACTTAGACACTTCGAAAAAAGACATCTTGCGAAAAGGACAAGTGCACTTAAGCAATACTTAATGGGCCCTTTTGATATGCCATTTTACTTCAAAATATATTACCAAATGGTTCTCTATTGGTAATTGTTAGATACTAATGGATATTTCTAATTTAAAAAAATGTTAAGCGCCACTTAAATCAGCATGGATTTGAAACAATTGAATATTTTGAAAGGCCTATGGATACCCTATAAATATCGTTTATGTAAATCAAGGAATAGATATTCAAATCGATACTTGAACAATCTGATGGTGGAAAGTTTGCGAAATGATATTTCTTGTGCCAAACCTGTTTTATAAAATATGGAATGAAGTTGTGTTGTTGCCTGTATCAGGCGCGAAGCATCGTTTTTGGAAGTGGGGGGGGGAACCTGAGAAATTTTTTTTTTTACTTACCTGAAAAAGTTGACAAGCAAAAAATTTTAAAAAAATTTAAAAGTTGCCCGAAGTCGATAAACCTATTTTAGGGGGGGGGGGGGGGGGGGGGTAGTGATAACTTTTTTCAAGACCAACTATCTCTTTCAATTCAAACTTTTTGGGGTAAATTTTCTTTATAACACTACGCTTTCCTGAAATGTGGGGGGGGGGCAACCTTCCTTTCAGTAAACATTTTCTACAGTAAAGGTAATGTCGGGAGAAAAAGTGGGGGTGCCTGGCCCCCCCTGATACTACGCCCCTGTGTATCTAAATGATTAAACTAAGAAATTGGTACTCTTGCATTTGAAAAACAACATTAATAGTTTCATTGAATTTGAAATTGAAAAAGAGTGTTATAGGTGGCTTTCAATACCTGTTTCATTGTCTTGCATGAAGGTTAAAAATGTCCCTACCCACCCGTGTTCTTAAAAAAAAATACATGATTATATATAAACATCTCTAAGCGACAGGGCTTTGACTTACTGAAACAAAACTTGCCTATGTTTTAAAGTGAGCACCTTTGAGGAATGTTTACCTGGGTAGAACTCACGTGACTATCAGTATTCTAAATAATTTATTCCACACGTGGGTTCAACATGGGTCATACAGGTAAATAGCTCTCACTTGCTATAGGAAATACATTTTACTTTTTATACATTTTTAATATTTTAAGTACGAGCCTAATCGTGTGCAAATTTAATACTTTCACACAAGTTTTATAAATGTAATATGCGTCTTTTGTCATTCGCACAAGTTTGCACAACGTTAGGCTCATAGTTAACAAAGGCTTTGAAATGAATTTTCTCGATTTACTATAGAAAATTGTTGACCCCTTTGTATAGTTTTGTTCTTTGTATATTCGTGGATTTCGGCGGTAAAATTTGTTGAATCGTATGGTTTAGATATCAATTAATAATTTGAAATGAAAATTTTTGCTTTATTTGATTATTTATTTTTTCACATTTTACCGGGGCCCATAAGTGCACTCGTTCTTTGAAGACTGGTTTCATCAGAAGCATGGAGCTATAAACATAAGACATCTATACATGGGAGATGTCTGCTCAAGTACAGAAAATCTAGAAAAAGGGACAAGAGTAATTGTTTCCGTTATTGAGAGTGAGAAAGCAATTAAAAATGAAAAATACGAATGTGATAAGGAAATCTTCAATGTTGTTTATAAACTTTGGGATGAAGTTTCCGTGCCGGAAGAAAGAAGGAAAGGGAGAAAGCATGATCATGAAAAGATAAAAGAGATCAACAGCTACCTGAAAAAAAATGCCGACTCAATTTGTAGACAACACTCAAACATTGAAATCATCCGTGGATCACTAGTTCGAATTAAAACTAACAAGGCTAAGAAAGTTCAAACAATATCTGAACCCTGTATAGCAATATATTGTTCCTATAAAGGTGTTGTACCCATCGGTGAAAAAGAATTTCCTCGAGTAATGGATGGATACGCTACGGATATAAGGGAAGGTTTTTTCCATCTGCATAAAAACTATGATATTTATGCAAACTCGGATGATCTGCTTGAACCATTACGAATGGGTGCAAGCATATCAAAAGATCAAGGTAAGAACAGTTTTGATTTCCTCTCTCTTCTCTTGTTTCTATGTTTATTATTTGAAAAGGGAAAAGGTTGAATATAAGGTTTAGGGTAAAAAAAATATTTACTAAAAACAAAAACTTTATCTTTACTTTATTTTTTTATAACTGACCTCCACCTGATTGTAAGATTCTGTAGGATTATATATCCACATAAATACTTTTCTCTGTACTCTTCGTATTTTTTAAAGAAGTTTAATATATTTATTTCGTTTTAAGGGGGCCCAGTGGGGTTTTATTGTGTGGAAACTACAATAGCAAAACTCTTCATTTTTACACCATATATAACTTACATTAACTTTACTGCACATATAAAGTTTGGGTGAAATCTAACGTCCAGGTACTTTTAGGGACTGTCTCAAAATATAGATACATTTACCATGGGATTATATAGGAAAGTGCCAATTTTTAGCACTTTAAAGCAAATTATACAAATAATACAATAGAATATTTGTTAAAACTATAATATATGATGAGCAATACTATATTGTACATTATGTGTAAGAAACACAAAATTCTACCATCTTATTTCCAGAGGGGGGTATCTCAAAAGGCAAAAAATTACGAATTTTCCTGTTTTTATCGAGTGATACAAATTATGACGGGCACAAAGGTTTTATTTGAAAAAATGATAAGAATACTTGAGAGATTCTTAAGTTTCTATGTTTTAAATTTCAAGAGCGTGTGTTTATTACTTTTTATTATTTACTGTAGTAGCATTTTTATTACCCCTTTCTTGAAAAGTTTCAGTTTATCATAACATCCAAAACTCATAACATCCATAACATAAATTCACACCTAATAGAACAGTATCTCTTCGAAGAATGCTTTACAATAGGTGTAATGATAAATATTGTTAAGTTAAAGAATTTTAAAATTGCATATTTTCTATTTTAATCAATTATTTAATATATAAAAAATGTTGACAAGGGCAATTACTCCTTCTTAGGTCTCTTCATTCAGGCATTTGTTTTTATTGTAAAATAGTTTCCCTGATATTCACAATTCAAAAGTATCTTTGAAGTAGGAAGTATTTAGAAACACTCAGCATCGGAATTATTCATTTTAACCAGTTTTTTTAAAAATGTTGATGTTGACATACACTTCTGTTTATTTATGTTTCGCATCTTAAATAATATGGTGATCTGTACATTTTTTTGCAATAATTGGACTGTTTAAAGTATATATTAAATGAAAATAAATGCAGTTTGTTTTTGTACTTTGAACCTATAAATTGTGAGGGTGGAATCATCTTAAAACAGCTTTAAAACGCGTCATTTTACTATGACGCGCGAAATATTTCGCAAAGAAAACTACAGTCGGCCTCCTAAAATTGAATTTAGATAAATTGATTGATTGTATGTTGTTTAACGTCCCTCTCAAGAATTTTTCATTTATATGGAGACGCCACCACTTGCCGGTGGAGGGCTACATATTTGTCCTATGCTCGGCACTTAGGGCCTTTGAGCAGTTAAGACCCTTTTTCATGCCAGCACCTACTGCGACAAGGGGCTTCGGTTTATACGGTCTCATACGAAAGACCAGTCTACACTCCCGTAGACGGATTCGATCCCGCGACGTAAGGATTGACTCCACACTTTGCGACTCAAGAGCAAACACCCTAACCACTGCACCACGCGGGCGACAAGTTGAATTTAGAATTTTGTGATTTTATTTTGACTCCTTTTTTTTCATTTTTACTTGTGCACTCCAGTAAATAGGTAAGGAATATTTCCATGTTTAATAATGGACTTGGAAAGATGTATCAAGAACAAAACTCCTGTTATGTAAAAGGTAAAGTCCACTTATTGTTTCCTATAGGCGCCAAGTTAACGTTTCCTTATATAGCGATGACCCTGAGTGAACACTCAATTTGAAGACCATCAGGTTGTCTTCCCTTGGTTAAAATCTCGAAGTGTCATGTCGGATTCGTTTCCAACAAAATGCGTTTACCTGTGTAAACCTTTACAATGAAAGTGAATGTGCAGGCCTCCGAAATTACAGACTTTCCGATGGTATAATAATACAAAAATGATTCTTATATTTTTGATAGGTAAGGCTAGCTATTTGTAATGGAACATGACCTTATTCAATAAGGATCAATTTAGTAAATAATTTATCAATTCATTATCCAGATAGCAAAACATGGGCCAACGTTGGCACAATTTTTTTTCCAACGTTGGCCCACTGTTGCTAACCTTACAATGGCCCACGGTAATTTTGCTCATCGGCCCAACGTTGGTCCAACAAGTTGGCATATTGATGGGCCAACGTAGATATAATTGTATGACAACTAACAGTCACTCTTAGTAACTGGTTGGTTAGATTGGCCCAACTTTGGCCCTTTGTTGAAATGTCAGATGGCATTTTTTTGGGCCAACGTAGTTTTTAGTGTATGCCAACTAACAGCCAACCTTAACAACTGGTTGGTTAGGTTGGCCCAATGTTGACCCTTTTTTACAATGTCAGATGGCAAATTTTTGGGCCAACGTAGTCATTACATAGAAACATTTGCAGTAGGTTTAGTGATTCTTTACATAAACCTCTTTTATGACTGTTTAAAATAATTAATACACAATTCAATCTGCATCCATAATGAATATATGGACATGTCCAATGAAAAAATTACTAATGATTCACTGTGATCATATTTCATATACATCAATTCAATCATAATTTACACAAAATAAATTTTAAAATAGATAATAGAGGTAAATTATGAAAAATTATCGATTCAAAGTTCTTAATCAGGGCTCACTTCCTTTATTACTGTCCTTTTGTTGTATTCCCGCTCTTTTTCCTTTACTTCGTCGCCTCCAGTTTTCTGTATCTTGATCTTTGTCACACGGACTCGTATTTTATACACTTCTTTATGTATGATCTCTGTCTGAATTTCTTTGTTAAAATCGTGTCTGTAATAGACAGTTAAGAATTAGATAGATAGAAACAACTTAAAAGATCTTATTTAATCTTCACGTACAGTGCTTGTGTGATAAAACATGACAAGAATGAATTCCGAATCAATTCTAACAGATAACCTGAATAAATAAGAATAAATATACTTACATCGCTTCTAAATGCAGCTTTATAGCAAGTGTATAACCAACAAATTCAAATTTTACTTATTCTTGCTTGCATTTTCAGTCTATCACCACCTGTGAGCGATTGAATCTGACAGCTCACTCCACAGTTTGGTCAAGTGTTAGCGAACGCCTAACTTTTTGTTTCAATTCAATTATAAAGCTGTGTCATTTTGATTTATGTATATGTAGGCTTCATTCACATCCTGTTCCTGAGAACATATTCAGTCTTATCTAAATTCTCATGAATACAACGCTCATGAAAACATTCATAATTTCAAGCATGTGCACAATTCAAAAAATATAATAAAACACTCTTTGGTGCTGTGATCACTTAAGTTCAAATTTAAAATGTTGAATATATCAGATCTAAACAAAAACAGTCATCCAATTAAAAGCAATGACATAGAATGTCAGCTCAGCAGCTAAAATTGATACCTTCTTTAGATGGTAGTATAATTATTGGGCCAGCGTTGGCCCAATATAAATATCCCATCTTTGAAACACTTAAACAAAAAACACTCTTGCTAACATCGGGCCAACCTTGGGCCAACATACTACTACCAAATTGATAAGACAGTTTTTGAGGGTGTATTACAAATATTGGGCCAATGTTAGGCCAACATACTACTACCAATTTGATAACACACTTTCTTTAAGAGTGTATAACAAATATTGGGCCAACGTTGGGCCAACATACTACTACCAATTTGATAAGACACTTTTTAAAGGATATATTACAAACATTTGGCCAACGTTGTGCCAACATACTACTATCTACTTGATAAGACGCATTCTTTATGGGTGTATAACAAATATCGGGCCAACGTTGGGCCAACATACTACTACCAACGTTAAAAGACATTCTCAAAGGGTGTATAACAAACATCGGGCCAACGTTGGGCCAACATACTACTACCTACTTTAAAAGACACTTTCTTTAAGGGTGTATTACAAACAGTGGGCCAACGTTGATGGTTCAACATCAACATCCCCCCTACTTTTGGAAGTAACGTGAATGGAAGTTGCTAACATTAGACCAACGTTGGGCCAACATAGGAATTCTGTCATGGTCGAGAAGGTTGGCATGGTGACATTGGTCCAACGTTGGCCAAACGTTGTTCCCCCAACGCCAACCATACAAACTTTTGCCAATGTTGGCCCAACATAGTCTTGCTATCTGGGTAGTAAACTAATACACTTATAAAACACTCAACCACACACAGGATTGTTTTGCTTTACCCCCTCCAACTCCGTTTCAAGGGGATAATTAGAGGTACGCAAATTCGACTCATTCTTCCAGGTATTCTAATGCTGATTGTCCGGATAGGGCCATTTGCAAAAGTTCAATAGTGCCTTAAAAATTGGAAAAACACTCATTAGCGTGACGGCCTATTGTGAGAGAGCGTGATTGTGTGATGTGTTAGTGCGACGTCGATGCTTAAAAGCGTGTTGGTGCGACCGCGTGTTGTGTGATAGCACGACAGTAAGTTGTGTGTTAGCGCGACGGCAATATGGGTAAAATTGCGTTAGCTTGACGGCATGTCGTTTAAAGCGTGTAAGCGTGATGGCATGTTTTGAGTTATCACGATTGCGTGTTTTTTTTTCTTTCTGAACGCGCTGTAAAGCTTTTCGCAAATGCCCATCACTCTGATTAAAAGAAACACATTGTTTTGTTGTCACACAGCACGCCATCGCGCTAAATACAACTTAACACAACACCCTGTCGCGCTGTCACACTACTCGCTAAAACAACCTGGCATGCCACCTTAGTTTGAGCTTTTGCAAATGCCCTGTTCGGACTCCATAAAATATTCGTATGAATTCTTAATTAATTCAAAAGATTTTTTGTTACGTATCATCGTTTTTGAAAATGCAGATGGCCAACACGAGAAAACAAATTAACTTGCCCTAAAAAAGAAACCAACCCCAGCTCAAAAATGCAAATTTGTGTGTGTGTTAGGAGGGAGGGGGGTTCAAACTTCTTTCAGTTCAGTTCAAACTTCTCTTTTTTACTGAAGGATAGTTGATACAAACTTTTGTAAAAAAAAGTGTTAATAACAAACTGAGTCATGGTTCAATGAGTACAAGCAAATTCAAAGAATTGTGGTGCCCCCGCTTTAGGTGTATTTGGGGGTGAGATGTCATTTTTATGACATATTGTGTCTAATATAAGCATCCTATCATTTGTCATTTATTTAGAAATTATCTCTGTGACTGAAGTTGATGGGTTTTTGAAAATAAAGTCAGTCGTGAAGGTCAAGGGGTAAGAAATCATAGAATGCTCAGAAATATATTTTGTGACATGTAATGCACATGTCAACTATGAAAGCCGTACATCGTTTCAATATAAGGAACAAGATGTGTTTGTAAAACATTGATGACCCCGTAGGCAACATAACGAAGATAGAACTTTTCTTATATGCAAATGAAATATATCATTACCCAAGGTAGGGTTTTCACACAAGAAATACGCTTGTAAAATTCAAAATCCCTAACACAACCTGTTCAAAAGCTATGGTCAAGGATAAATTTTGAAAGGTATGCCCAAGGTAAAAGGGTTTGAGTTGTTGATTTCTAAGAAATGTCACAGGTAGTATATATGTGAAGGATAAAAGCCCTTCCCCTAAGCGTTCAATACTTATGGCCAAGGTAAAAGTTTTTTGAAAATTAGGTCAAACTCCAAGGTCAAGGTCAAAAGGTTCTTGGTATCCAATGAAATATATTCTCACAAGAAGTATTTGAAGTATAAAATCCCTAGCCTTACCATTAAAAAATATGATCAAGTTTAACGTTTTTTTTCATAAGTATGGAAATCTCTAAGGTCAAGGTCAAAAAGTCAAAGTTCTTGGTTTTGAAGGAAAGGTTATTGCCACAAAGAACATATATGAGAAATATGAAAGTCCTTATTACATGTACTACCGTTCAAAAGTTGTGACCAAGGTCAAAGTTTTAAAAAGTACCTCTTACTACAAGGTCAAGGTCAAACGTTCAAAGGTTTTGGTATTCAATAAAAGTTCTTCTTACAAGGATTACATATGTGAACATTGAATACCCTATCCCTTAACATTCAAACGTTATGGTCAAGGTTAAAGTTTTTTCATAAGTACGGAAATCTCAAAGGTCAATGTCAAAAGGTCAAAGTTGTTGGTATCTAATGAAAGGTCTTACCACAAAAAATTACATATGTGAAGTATAAAAGTCCTAGTATCCACCGTTCAAAAGTTATGATCAAGATTAAAGTTTTTTATAGGTATGGAAATCTACAAGGTCAAGGTAAAAAAGTTATAGCTGTTGGTATCTAATGAATGGTTTTGTCAGGAAGAATACATACGTGAAAAATGAAAGTCCAATTCAAATTTTGAAAAGAAGGTCAAACTCCAAGATCAAAGGGTCAAAGTTCTTGGCATCCAATGAAAGGACTTTTTACATGGATTATATATGTGATGTGTGAAAACTCTAGCCCGTACCATTCAAAGGTTATGGTTAAGGATAAAGTTTTACATAAGTAAGGAAAGCTCCAAGGCCAAAAAGGTTAAAGTTGTTGGTATCCAATGAAAGATCGTGCCATATAAAATACACATTTGGAAAATGAAAGTCTTAGTTTCTGCAATATAAAAGATATGGCCAAAGTAAAAGTTTGGAATTTTTGTGTAAGATTGGGTCAAACTCCACGATAAAGGTTCAATGGTTAAATTTGGTGGTACCCAAGGAAAGGTCTTGTCACAAGAAATACGCATTTGAAATATGTAAATCATACCTCCACTTAATCAAAATTATGGGCAAGGTTAATATTTTTGTGACGGACGGACAGCTAGACAGCTAGACGTACAAATGGATGCGATTTAATGCATGTCCCCTCGCTTTTGCGAAAGCAAAGGACAAAACTGGTTAAGTTCAAACTCGTATTTTTTCACTTTTTCATTCAAATTTTCACATAATAGTCAAGAATACTTGTAGAGATTGATTAGGATGGCTGCAGAAAATTAGAATTTTGAACATTATAGAAGGTTAACAATTTCTCAATATTTTGGAAATTTATTATTTGCATCATTTGCAACAAAATTAGGCCCAGAAATATATACCAATCCAGGCATCCATCCTTGGTTTCTATCACCTGTCCTTAACCACTGTATTATCCTTACATCTTGTTTGACAAAAATGCAACCAAAACTACAGGAAGAGAAGACCAGACTTTCAATGAAAAATTTTCATATTAAATCTTATGTTCGGAAAAAGTTCTCCCCTGTCCATGGTCAAAATTAGTGTTCTTATTGACTTTTTAATGTACGTATAACACTTCTCTTGCAGATGGAACAGGAAAAGGAACTCTTGGTGGATTTGTTGAGTTGAAGAATGGCCGCGTTGGATTTTTAACCTGTGCCCATATTTTTCATAATGCAGAAGAAATGATGCAACGTCCCTTAGATATTCCATTTCCTATAGTGCAACCATCTGCATCCAAAGAAGGATCACAACGGTGTGGCAAGATATTAAAATCAGCTTTTCCTTTCTCTACCATTGTAGACGGAGTCAGTGTAGATGCAACAGTTGTGGAGTTAACTGAACGGGTTCCAGACAGAGCACTGTTTGCAAACCTGACGACGGCGCGATTGAAAACACTTGGTATTATTTTTTTCCTCTTGTAAATCTGATTACTTTGGTTGTTGATGAATAACTCACAATATAAAATGGTCTTTTTATAATTATAAAGTTTTCTATTCTTAGTCAAGATTACTTGACGAAATAAATGTTGAGAATAACAGGTTTCATTATATCAATGTACCTTCAGTGATTTGAAAAAAAAAATCATTTCTTTCGCATATTATTCATTTTTTTTTCTGAACCTGCTCCTTTCATACAATTTCGATTTATCTGAGACCAACGTATTAAGCCATAATGAAACTAGCCAATATATGCTTATTTATTTCCTTGAATACTACTCAAAATTTGATAAGGATCACTATAGTAAGATATGAATTTGACTCAGAAAAGTGTTTTTTCAGGCAATGAACGAATATTCATAAACGGCGTAAACGTTTATCAATACGGAATGCTTGAAATCTAAAACAACAACAAAAGGCATTCCATTACAAAATAGTAATAGCAAACCAAAGAAGAAAAATACATTTTTTAAATAGTCTGTCATTACATATAGCCGATGAAGTGACAATACCGGGTACGGCCTCCCCTTGCATCAATAACAGCTTGATAACGTCGAGCCATACTTTCAATAAGCACCTGGATGTTTCCAATTGGTAGGTTGTTACAATCTTTCACATGGACGTTTCCGAGTTTTGCCAAAATCATGGTTTGTGCTCTACGCCGTGAAAGAGCAACCGCACCATGTTTCATACATGCTAAATCAGGGTTAAGTCCGGTGAGCGCGCTGGATATTCCATATGGACAATTGTTTCCTGTTGAAGGTACTGCTTTACCACCCTGGCGCGTTGTGGACAGGCGTTATCATTCATCAATGAATTCAGGGCAAACAGCACTAGCGTAGGTCTGACGTAAACAAGAATCTCATTCTGGTACCGCACTTCCGTCATTGTTTCTCTCTACAAGACAAGCAGATCTGTCTAAATCCCCACTGATTCCACCCCTGACCATGATGGAACCACCAGTATAACGGTAATGATCACTAATACTGGTATTGTGGAAATGTTCACGTTGTCTTCGCCACACTCGTTGCCTTCTGCCTGTCAAGTCCAAACAATATCTGGACTCATCGATGAACAGAATTGGAACCAAATTGTTCTGTGTACAAGCAACAAGCTTCAGCCCTGTCCAGTCGCTCCAGCCGTTGTCAGACAGTGAGAGGGACTCAAACACATGCCCTTGTGGAGTAGAAACCTGCATTGTGAACCCGATTCCGTATCATCTGAGTGGACACCATTACCACCGAGGCGTTCAGGAGGTGATTACGCAGCCTGGATGCTGTCCAGAACGGATGGCGTCGTGCCTGAAGAGCAAAAAAAATGGTTTTTGCATTAGGTTGTCGACCTCCGACGACCGCAAACATGTCGGCGTGCTGCTGTACTAAAAATTTGCTGTCGGTTCCATGCCCTGTTTACAACGCTTTGGCTAACGTTTTGTGCATTTGCAACAATACGATTTGAATAGCCAGCGTCAAGCATTCCAACACATCTCCCAAGTTTTTCTGTCCTCAGACGACACCTTACAAGCTGAAGGGCCATTTTGTTGAAAATCGTAGTGTAAACACTCAAGTGAGTTTTATATCTTAAAAATAATCAGACACCGATGACTGAGTGAAAATATCGTGCAATGGTAGCAAAAGAATAAACTGTGATGAGAAAAGCATTTCACATGGCATGAAATCCACGTGTGTAACGTAAAATGAGCTAGGTCGTCCTAATTAAATCAAAAGAAGAGTTACTTTAAGGAAAACAAGAACTATTTTTTTTTTAAAATACGAAAATACATTTAAACAAACTCACTCAGAAATGATCGTACAAAAAATGTAATATGTATTTACAATGAAAAAGATGATCAATAAGACTTTTATCAATTGTTTTCAACACATGCTCTCAATAACTCAAACTTATCAACATAACAAGTACTGCCAACTTCAATACGAAAGTTCAAAAATTTTGATTAACAATATCCTCCAAACTGCCTGGGCTGTAGTCCTAGACTTTTGCTGTGTCGATTAACGACTGTTACTTATTCCCGCGTCTAGACATCATCATCGATTTCGTTTTCATCACAATCATCATCAATGACATCATAGTCATCGACATGAACATCACCGACATCATCGTCGTTATCGTCACATCATCAACATCACATCATGTACACCTCAGCATGGTGCTAGAATATGAATTGTCCTATATCGGTAAATGATTATTTACTCTAAATATGACAATACTATAATACAGTTATACTGGCTGTAATTAGCTCAGTGTTGTAATGTTTGAGTTCAATATAAAATAAACACTTAGATACCTTCGAAAGCATTAGTTTGTTAACAGTTGACAAAGATACAAAACGGCTGAAACTACTCCCGGTCACTTACTTCCACTCAGACATTTAAATGAAAAAGTAATACAGCGAACAAAAATACAATAAAATAAAGAAACAGACTGTTCTTTTAATGTAGAGAATTTCTCTAACAACGATAAAAAAAATTTAACAAGAAACCCTATTAAAACACAAAAAAGTCAATTGCAACTTCTCAGGCCTTTCCGACTAGGGATAAACGACCTCAAATGTATCAGGAAGACGCCATGATAACCCCCCTTTTCCACGATCTTTGAAATAAATGCATGGAGACGTTTTATTAGCAATGGGCGCCGCCGCTAGGTGGCGCTGGCGGTAAGTTTTCCCGCAATCACGAAAAGTTGACCTCGTTGCGCTTGGGATTTTTCCCGGTCTTGTATGATAAAACCTGAGGCTATAATACGAAAGTGCGAAACTAAAGTCAGGAGTTCTATTTTGACGTATATGATATTTATAGAAAGCACATCGTAAGAAAATGGCAATTTATCGATATTTAAAGTGAGAAAATAGGTGGGAAGACTAGAAATCGGCAATTTTACGGTCATTTTTGAGTAGTTTGATCTTTTTTAAGCTTAAAACAATACGAAGAAAATAAGTATTTGCACGGATAATAATGTAAAATCGATGTTCAATCCGGTAGGGTCAAACGAACAAGAACGATAACTCTAATGTTTTTAAATCCGAGGAAAATAAACAAGGCATTTAATAGCCGATTTTTTCCTGTTCAGTAAGTTTTCCTGTTTTTATCCTCGAAAAATATATTATATTTGATTTATAAAAACATGAAAATATGTCATTCTCTCCTTTAATGACATTATCTTGCAAACTGTAAAGACCGAAAATTCTGTGCATCTCAAAACTCTTGCACTTGCAAAGTTGCAGAACGATATGTCTTTGTCAATTTATTTTGAAAGTTGAATCATGTTCAAATCACAGGAAGAACTTCAAGACACTTAAGTCAGTTATGTGTAGCTTACACCTTAACCATAATAAATTGCCACATGCTCTGCAAAATGATAAATTATAAATATAATTTAATTAATTTAAACATGTTAAACTTAAAGTTAAAGTTGAATAAATCTAATGCATATGCAAAATATTTTAAATTGAAATGTCAAGTAAACTGTAATTGCAGACCACTTTTTAAAATTCTTTTTTAGGAATTTATTGAGAAAAATCAGCCAACTCCTGAAACTAGTGAAAGTCTTTTACTATTTTTCATTGTGATTTTTTAAAAATTTTATTTCAAATTTAGCACAAGCCCTCATACTAAAGTTGAGACATTCCAATAAATATGGATATCATTTTAACAAGATAAAGAAAACATTTTCTTCTACACTTGAGAATAATAATTATTCTTTCAATACCTTTTAATCATTTCTTTTTATTCTTTTTCAAATTTTAATTGTTTTGTAAATAGAGGATAGAGGAGATGTATAAAGAGAGGACAGTGGTTCAAAAAGAAGCATAATAAATGTAGATTTTATATAGTGTTAAATTTGATAAAAACACAGTTTTATTAACCACAATTTCATAAACCTTTTCATCAATGTCAGGGATTGTGAACATAAACATAATGAAACTGTGTATACTTTAATACAAGAATATAATGTAACTTTCCATGTATGGTAGACAGTGTACGATAGAGTACTTCAGAGTACTGAAGAAAAGTTGTGTATTTTAATATAATTAGACTATTTATGTATATACAATTTGATTTAACAGTATATTAAAATATATTTCAACATTTGTCCCAAATATTTGTTTATTTAGCAATATTTGGACAAGAAAGCAACATTCATGATTCAATGCAATAAACAGATGATGGTTATTAACACCCCAGTCTTATTTACTGTTTTGTTTCAGACTTATTAATTTCAACTAAATCTTGTTTATCAAAAATTAAATTAATTGCATTACATAAACTTTAATATTTTTCACATTAACAATGAAACATTTGAAGTTTGATTATATCAAGATCAGGATCAAAGCATAAGATAAACTAATGTAAACCGTAACCTGAAATCAAAAATTAAAATAACTTCTAAAATAAGGAACACATACACATTTTATTTAAATATATGTTTAATATGTTAAACCAATGTTGAAAAACATACAAAAAGCAGTTTTACTGCATTTGATTATAAAATTTTACTAGCGTACTCTAAAGTACTCTATCTTACAAGCGTACTCTGTTTTGTAGGAAAATAAGGTGAAAGAGGGTAGGTGTGTTTATTAGTATTTTAAGGCTATAAAAATTCTCATTTTCAATAAATTAAGTTCATATTTAGATTAAACACACCCAAAAAAGGTTAAATAGACATGGAGTTATCTTTTATTTGATAAAGTTTCTTCAGTATAATGTGAGGTCAGATATTCTTAAAAGTCAGAAAATTAGCCAATTGAAATTGCGTGGGGGGTACCCATGTTTGCCAGTTAATTGTGATGCAATGGAAAGCGATACAATGAAATGGTTGTAAAATTTGAAATCAGCATGCTCAAATTCAGAGGAATGTGAGGAAAAAATCTGAAAAAATACTGTTTTTAAAAATCATCCCCTGATGCTAGTTTTATCTGTGGAATATGGAGTTAAACTTTTTTCA